TTAAAATAATTTTGTACAAAGGTGAACTTTATGCCGAATGCAATCATCATAATGCATTCATTCATAATGCATTCTCTGCCAGCTAACCTTTGGTAGTGTGGTGAGAGCTATGGGTACTAAAAGAAGATCTATTTTAACATATTATTTAAAATGTATAAATATACATATTAGTTTATACATATATACACTCACCATTATATATGAATACTAATAAAATACATACATTATAGTATATGAATAACAAATACACGTGGAAATGCTATATATAAATCAATTTAAATTTAAATTTAAATGTATCTTTATTAGCGAATGCAGGTAAGTAATGAGATAGAATATGTAGATCTTTGAAAAAATTATGTTCACTGCATTCAATCCAAGTTATTTTAAATAATTTGCCTAAACCTTACGTTTAAATTATATTATTGATGAGGGTTCTTTTATATCACGTCGAAGGTTATTCCAAAGAGTAATTGATGATACCGTAAAGGAATCTGAATAGTTGACGTTTTGTTGGTCATCGCTATTACGCAAAAACGCTCTTTCAATTAAGTTTTGGAACATAGATTGTGAAGAATACTTGAATAGTATTCTTTTCTTTTTATTGGTTATGGAAGGTGTGTATTCCGGTGAAAACCGATGTCGAAACACTTAACCCGGCGAGTGTGGTAAAAAATGTCACAAGGAGTATGTGGCGGGGTATGACATACCCGTTTACAAAATTGGCTGTAAAACTTGATTCTTAAGAAAAAGACACTGCTAAATATAGGCGTTCCTCAAAGAGTGTCATAAAACACGGTCCTGGCACACCAGCAACCATCGACTCCCTGCATTCCTTAACAGGACATCTAGTGGGAAGCCTCACTATACCTTCGCTTTTCTTAAAATACTTTTTTTTAATTTAATAAAATTTCTGTATACATTTATTGCAAATATATGTTCACTGTTTTTGAAACTCACATACCCTGATAATGTCGTAAGAGGAAACCGATCGATTTACTTATTAAAAAATAAACACTGTTATTCTTATTACATACAATGTCAATAAGATACGTTTTATTTTAAGCAGTTGTTTATACGTGGTATAGTTTAGTTTAGTAATGGTATAGTTGTTTATACGTGGTAGAGCCATGCTGCAGCTATATTATTGTTGTAGCATGAATGGGTCGGCTCAACCGGGGAAGGACCACGCTCTCACAGAATACCAGCGTAAAATAGCAGCTTAACGCTGCTGTGCTTCGTACGGTGAGTGCAGAGAACCGGAGACCCTTTTTACTGGGAACGAGGCATTCCATCTTAGTCCTCACGGGTGAAAACGCATCTGCATTTCGATTCGTAATCGAAGATAGATGTAGATGTTGATAGATATGGGCCACAGCAACCACTTACCATCAGGTGGACTGTGTGCTCGTTTGTCACGTTTATCCTATAAAAAAAAAAGTTGTTTTTGATCGTTCGTAAATAATTATTATAGTTTTTTGGAGTGTTCCTCACTTTTGGAGTTAGTTTGTGAAGGTTTGTTTTTCTCTAAGTAAAGAAATGTGTTCACTGTTTACACCATATTATTCGTTTTTCTCGTCTGTGTTTGCATAACTTTGATCATTGACATGAGTTTAAATCATACAATTATTTACTAGAAGATGCTTAACTAGGTCACCATTTTCTACTGGGTAAATCCTCATGTATACCCTGCTGCTCTAAAGAGGCAGACAGACAGACAGACTGAACATCGATTAGAGGTCACGGGATCTCCGCGTAGCCTACCAACTAACCGGCCGATTGAACCATCGGTCTACGAAATTGACACCACAATTTTGATATGTTTGAGAAATTTGCCCGCCAATCTACATTAGCGCAGTGCACAGGACTGCTTCCTGTTCCAAAAGGCTTTAAAAAAATGACCGAAGCCGCCTACTATACTCGTAACTTGTTAAGCTGACTAATGTTCCAGGCTCTGTAAACAAACCTTGGAGGTTTTAAACAATGCTATAAAAGTGTGTTTTTATTAACATCCAAAACATAACCATATCAGTTACTCGACTCCACCGAGTCGAGTAACTGATATGGTTATATTTTGGAGTAATTCATTCTTGTTGCGATGTATACGCTTTTACAACAAAATTCCAGAAAATATACAACATTTGACCTGCTGAAAGTTCAAAAAATTTATTAAACAAAGTTTGTATAAAAACGGTTATTATAATATTAAAGAATTTATGGATAATAATAACCCCTGGGAATGAGGTGATCGCTACCAAGCTATTTTTAATTTGTTTTATGTGGTTAATTATCTAACAAACATGATTGTAAGCTGTTATTTTTAAAAAAATGTCCCGCTGGGTTTCTTGCTGCTTCTTTCCAGGACATAGGGTTTTTTCGAACCAGTGGTAATTAAACAATAACTGACTTTCAATGAGTATTATTTATAATCTATAATGAATAAAAAAGTTTCTGTTTCTAACAAAAATATGCCTGAACCAATAATTTTATTCATGTTTTTGCACGTTTGATGTGGTTGGGATTCTTACCAGAAACCCGCGACTTTGAAGTCAGGTCTGATGGATTAAAGAAAATTTATTGGATATTTTAATAAAGTTTAAAATGTTTTCTTTATGATATTCGTTCGTACTCATAAACTGAAACATGATAAATAGAAATATCAAAAGTATCTTCCTGATAACAATTCAAAATTATAGAACGCTGCGGTTGCCAACGCACCTATTGAGATTGAGCGTGGCAATTATACCAAATATCCCAGCCCTCTTGTGAGAAAATTAAAATGGAGGGTTACCATCCACACTAAATGCTATTAACTATTGTATTGTACCATTATATTTCATTCCGTGTACTGTTATGAAAATATAAAGTATTCAAATAAAACTAGTGTTACGCATTTTATCGCGTATATTAATTTATTTTATATTCCCGACGTTTCGAGTACTTTACAGCACCCATGGTCACGGGGGGGGAACTGAGCTGTTTGACGTCCGAATGTCATAGTTAACCACGGCTACCTTCAGATTAAAATTATTAATTTTTGTTCCGATCTACGCAGTATGAACTTACAGTATCTTGAAGTATTGCAGTTGTATGCTTGTGTTGGGGTTTCATTTTATTAATTATAGGATCCCAAGCAGATGGTAGCACCCAGCTATCTTCTCTATTGAAATTAGGATGTTTTGATTTGTTTGATTGTTTTTGATTTCAATAGCCTCGCGGATCATCGTTGGAAGGAACCGGTATTCTTCGACGAGGATTTGTGGGCTATCAAATTTAATGTAGTGACGGGGGCTATCCTGTACCTATTCATAGACTGCAGACTTCCCGGACCGTCGATTCTTCACATCAGCCATGTGTTCTTTAATGCGAGTTTTTATTGATCTTTTAGTTTGTCCTATATAAGAGAGACCACATTCACAGTCAAGCTTGTACACTCCTGCATCTTGCAGAGGGACATTACAGTTGACTGATGGTAAAAACTGACTAATCCTCTTCGGCGGCTTGAAGTATATTTTAATGAAAGCGCGCTTTAAAATGTAGCCAATCTTGTCAGTATTACCTCTGACATATGGCAGTACAGCAGGCACTCGCTCGACTGTGGCTGGCTTTACTCATTCACTGCGACGTAGGCGCAGGAACCCGAAGCTTGTTGTCGTGCAAAACTTGCTTGACGTGTTGGAGCTCGGCGGCCAGGTGTTTACTGTCACAGATCCCTCGTGCTCTCTGAAACAAAGATTTACCCACGGTAGCTAACTCTAAAGGATGGTGATGAGATCCACCGTTTAAATATCTATCTTTATGGGTATTTTTTCTATACACAGTATGGTTCAAGGTGTCATCAGGATTTCGAATTTACTAACACATCTAGAAAAGCTAAAGAACTGTTTGCCTCTAACTCCATTGTGAACTGAATTTTAGAATTTATGAAGTTAAGGTGGTCTAAAAATACAGTTACTTTATCTAAAGGTATAATTGTGAAAGTGTCGTCTATGTACCGCTTGTAGAATCTTGGATTTACGGGAGAAGTAAGCAGGACTTTCTCCTCAAAGGCTTCCATGAATATATTAGCGACAATGAGAGATATAGGTTAGCCCGTCGCCACACCATCTACTTGCTTGTAGAATTCTTCCTTACACAATAGGTAGCCAGATGGTCTGAGTAATACTGCATATTCTACGGGCATGTTGTTTTTCTCCAGCCTTCTAGTTATAATTGAGATGCAGTCTTCAACAGGTAAACATATGAACTTGTGACTTCACGTCAAAACTGACCATAGTTTCATTGTCTTCCAGATGTAGGTCTTTAATCTCATTGACAAAATGATAGGAATCCTTTGTGCGTGCTCTTGTATGTCCTCTGAGCGGTGAGAGTATTTTCGCTCACAGAGTATCATCGATTTGGTTCACTATGGGACGTAGTGGAGCATTGAGCTTGTGTATTTGGTAACCCATATAACTTTGGTGGTATTTAGTACTCGTAGGTATTATCGATTTTACGTCCAGATTTAATTGTAAATTAGAAAATACCATGGAATGTTTTAAGGCATTGCAATAAATAATTAATATATAAACATTTTTATTTATTTATTTATTTTGCATAATGTGTATGTTTTACAGTTGTTATAAAAAATATAGTACAACACATTAACCATTTCTGGTGTACAAAATTATTGAATTTAAATAAACTATGCCTTCTAATTCCAGCATTTTTTATTACTTTCGTAGTAGTAGTATTTTATATTAAGATATTCTAATATGTCCTAATATAACTGCCAACCCTATATAAATATACAATCTTCGACGTCATATAATGTGAGTCAATTTACTTGCGCAAAATCCAATCTCTTCTGATTTGATTTGCACAGGTGGATTTAAGGATAGATTGATTTTAAATATATTTACTGAGAAGATTTTCTGTCAAAAAACAATAAATCATTTTGAAATTAATGCTGAGGTTGTGTATTTTTAAATCTATAATAATGATATTCCATGTTGTTGTTGCAGGTTAAAGAAAATTGGTTTCAGTGAAGTGTACCATAGAAAAAAATCAAGATGGTGCTTACAAAGTTTGTGTTTTGTTTGGCCTTGGTGCATGTGGTGTTAGCCAAAGGTAAGACCTATTTTAAAAATTACAGGCATTCAAATTAATAATTATATCCGTAATTTTATTTTTTTAGTTTGATACTACCGAAAACTACAAAAGAGTTTTATTAAATATTACAAATTGTCATTTTACACGAGAAATCTGGAACTGCTATTGTAATCGCTATCCCAATATACGTGGTAGACCCATACTGGATTAATGGTTGCCGCACGAGTAGGTCGGTTCGACTAGGGAAGGATCGCGCTCTCACAGAATACCAGCGTTAAGTAGCAATTTAATGCAGCAAATCGTAAGGTGAGTGCAAAGAAACGGAGACTCTATTAGCTGGAAAGAGGCATTCCATCTCAGGTATCATGGGTGACAACGCATCTGCATTTTGATACTTAATAAAGAATAAGTGGACTATAAGGTGGACTGCGTGCTCGTTTGTCCCCGTTATTCTATGATAAAAACTGTCACGTGCACCGATAAATACAGGTCCTCCGCATTTAGATAGTGCGGGTTTTTACAGCTAGCGATAATGATGTTCAATGTAAAAAAATATTTTGCCATATCCACTGAAGATAGATCTCCAAAAAAAAAAAACATTAGATAATTTACTTGTATCGAAACGCAACAATGTAATGTAGAAAATCAAGAGTAATTAATTATTTAGGTGCTCAACACCGCTTTACATTGCATACTTCTTATCGATCAGTGGATTTGATATTAAGATCAACGATCTTAAATTAAGGCTGTGAAATCGGATCTATTGTCATGCGTGCGACGCAATTAAAGATCCGTTCTACGCTCAATAAGTCATTGCTGATCCGTGTAATCGTTTCTATTTTTATCTTTTGCTAAAATCACGCAGTTTAATGAAGAGTTAAGGAGCACCATGAATCAATGATCATGATATAATTTTTGAATGGTAATTTAATCTAGCAGATTCCAACTCATTTGTACAAAAGCCGAGCTTAACCGGATTCCAGTCTTAATAAGACCTCACAATTGATGTCGACTTCATTTCAGGCTCTGTAAAATATAAGATTAAAAGTTAACTTTCGACAACAAAGAGGGACTATTGCTTTAGTACTCTTACATAAAAAAATGCTATGTGTCAACATTTGCCTCGTACCGTCGTACTCGTTATAGAGCGACCTCTACTGAATGGAATAACGACCTGGTAAGACGTGAAGGGTGTCGGTGATGGAGGTGGCAGTGGCAGGATCTATTTTTAGGACTTGTGAAGGTATACAGTGATGATGATGGCGTTGATATATTTTATCATTAACCTACCAGTTCTACGTGTAAATAAAAATCTAAAATATATAGTAATTTATTTCCAAAGCATGTCTGGTTCGGAAAACATTGATCGATCGCATTTACATACGCGTGGTCACGATACCTAGCTCTACGCGTTTTGTATTCAGTGGAATTATGTTCTATTCTAGATGTGGGCAGAATATATTATACTATTATTTAAAATGCAATTATGATTATTAAACGGTACTCTTGCCTTTTCCAGTTGTTTTATGTTTCTTCCTTTTATATAATTTCATACAATGTTTCCAACTCCACCCTGCTATAAAGCCGTAGTAGATAAGCGAAAAGCATAAATTAATAAACAGTAAACTATGCGCAATTCATGCTCGATCACCACGAGCACTAACGAAACATTTTAATAGTAATTTTAAAATGCTCAGCGAAACAAAACGTTTGCCCGCTCTTTAATTAAAAAAAATGGTGACGCGATCAACGTGTTAAAAAAATTAAAACATTTCCTTGAATTAATGAATTAATTACCAATATGTAATGGGGCAGTGCGGGTTAGATTTTTTTCTCATCCCTCAATCCTCTTTTAAACGAAAGGAGGCCTATGCCAAAAAGTAGAACACATATAGGCTGGTACTTTACTTTTATTGTACCCTGGTACTCCCTCTGCAATGTGTAAATTTTTTGCTATATATATTTTACTACACTGAGTGCGTTTCCTTTTTAATTATAAAATGTTTCATATTGCACATAATAAACATAGGAAATTATTCAGCATTTGAAGAGAAATATTTGAATTTCATGGCTATATAAACTATTTGAAAATATAAAATAAAGGGTAGTGGAAGGAACCATGTTTCAAAAAGCAGCATCATATTTTTATTTTTTAAATTTAAACAATTGATAACTTATTGCAGCACATGACATGTAATATAAATATATACTAAGAATTATTTTTATAGAGTAAGGGTGATGCACGAGCACAGTCCCCCTGATGGTAAGTAGATGCTATGGCTCATGGACATCCACATCTATCCTCGACTAAGAATTAAAATGCAGATGCGTTGTCACCCTGAGGACTAATATGGAATGCGTCGTTTCCAGTAAAACATTCTCCAGTTCTCTACACTCACCATATGAAACACAGCAGCATTAAGCTGCTATTTTACGCTGGTATTTTGAGTGTGGTCCTTCCCCAGTCGAGTCGACCAATTCGTACTACAACCATAATATATCTGCAGTATGGCTCTACCACGTAAGAATTTGAACCATGAACCTTTATTACGAAGTTTTGTAGAGGTGTAAATTCAAATGACATGACTTTTACCAGAGGTCACAGAGCACAGAGCTAATTAGTTTAGAGTTAATTAATTTATTGCAGTATATTATGTTTTATATTGTAATAAAAATATTTAATTTGTTTTTATAACAGCCAAAGTCCACTGCTGAATATTGTTATTCACAACTGAAACTATTCTTAAGATAATTAATAGAATCGGGCGTTACTTTGCGGAAATCCATTATATTAAAAAATGTTAAAAAATTTGTTAGCTAAGCGTATAAAATAAAGTTTGTTCTACGTTCGAAGTACACCCTCCACCTTTCCTCATTTGCGTGCACTATTTACATCACCAGTAATACGACACGTGTTTCGCCTCTAAATGAGGTATCATCAGGTGAAATGGTATCTGCGGTGGCTGGCCGCTGAAATAGACGTCACTTAGAGGTGTTGGGAGTAGTGATGATTAAAAAAAAAACATTTCACGTCTGTATTTACGCAAGTAAATTATAGAGAATGAAAGCTTTATGTTATAAAATGGAAAACTTCCGCTCGATAAAGCGTCAATTTCATATTTTAACACAAACTTGTGTACAACAAAGGTTGTATACAAGTAGACTTAATTTTTATGAAATAAAAACAATGATATATTAAATTATTAATGTTTATTTAAAATACACACGGTTAGATTATTTTATCCTTCAATCCTGTCTTAACAAGTGGTTCAAGGTTTCAATAAAATGCAGGATTGTGTACACATTTTATCTTACTCAAACTTTTATTCATTAAAACAACAACAATAACAAAATATACATGTAATACACATACAAAACTATTAATTTAAGAAACCTTGAAGGCCTTGCAATTTAAAAAAAGGCTAAAGGTTAAAAACGAAAACATAGTCTTTTTTATAGGATAGCATGACAAATGAGCACACAGTCCACCTGATGGTAAGTGGTTGCCGTGACCCATAGACATCCACATCTATCCTCAATAAAGAATCAAAATGAAGATGCGTTGTCACTCGTTAGATCTAAGATGGAATGCCTCTTTTCCAGTAGAAAGGGTGGCCGGTTCTCTACACCCACCATACGAAACACAGCAGTGTTAACGTGCTATTTTACGCTGGTATTCTGTGTAAGCGTGGTGCTTCCCCGGTCGAGTCGACCCATTCGTGCTACAACTATACTATTAATATAGCTGCAGCATGGTTCTAACTGTAAGTGAATACTGTGGCATAAACTCCTACTTGTACATCTGTATCAAAATGCAGATGCTTTGTCACCTTTGTCACTATGAAATGCCTAGTGATACATCACTCACTATATGAAAAAGTAGAAATAGGCTATTATTTACGCTTGAACTCTGTGTAAGCGAAGTCCTTCCCCGATGGAGCCGAACCATTTGTGTTACAGACATAACACACTGCTCTACCACATATAATACTAGCTTCTTGAACGTTTTTTTAAGGTTTAGTTTTTACTTGTTGTGTTGATGTCGCCGCCCTCAGTGCCGCAATTCATTTCTAAGCCACTACGCCACGGAGCCGTACGTCAATGTTAATAAAACTTTTTAGGGCAAGCAGATTTCAATCTGTGTTTAAAGATGTTAACGAAAATAATTTCTAAAAAAAGTATTTATGCTGAACATAAATTGTTAGGATGTACTTATTGGATGAAGTTAAGCCTTTATATATTTGAATATTTTCGTTAGAAATGTAGAAAATTCACAGTTTCATTTCATTATTTTTTCCATAATAGTCTTTATTATGATTATAATTACTAAAATAACAAAAATAAGAATACGCGTACGGATACGGATGGAATAAGCCTTCAAAAGTCCTATCGAGCAAAACGAACGTGGCATTTATGTAATATCAGAATTTCTTAGTTAGTTCTTAGTGGTAAACTCATATTTACAATAGTTCTATTAGAAATTGTTTTTTTAAAAAAATTATTGTGTAAATTAAACTTTGAGTATTTTCCACACTGAGTATGATATGGAGTTCTATCGGAAACTCGTTTGACTATTCGGGTTCATTGCGACACTGTTAGCCGTGTCTAGTTCCACTTTACTAATAAGGAGCGGTGTCATTGAGACTAATTTTTCACATAGATACATATTTAACTTGATTTATTGCTCATCAAAAAAAAATAAGCAAGTGAAAAAAGGAAAAAAAAGAAATGTATTTCAATAGACGGCCTCATCGCTAAAAACAGTCAGACAATCTTTAGATGGACAGAATTGCGAAAGGCCAGATACATGTGTGGTTTGACGATAAGTGTGTTTAGGCACTTGTTCCACCGCGAACGATGAAAGAGAAGCGAGTAGAGCTAGAAACTAGATAAAAGTTGGCGAGCAGCGAGTTTGTAGTTGCGATAGTTTTGTCGCTGGCCTATAAGCAATTGTATGATTTATTCTAAATTCACAGTAAATGCGTGCATTCATATCCGCTCTGTAGAGTAAAATTTTC